AATTTGTTCCATATATATATATATATATATATATATCTCATAGTCATGATTTAACTGTGGGCTGTCAAACGATGCGTGAATAAGGCTACCTTGTAATTGCACCAACGGTCCAACTAATGTTAATATTGACAGAAAATATCTTTTTTAAAAAGGCTCGATTCACGACCTATCGCTTCAGTTTTTTTCAAGTAAAAATTGAATAAAACAATACTCAAGGGGGAAGGCGGGTCCGGGAATTGTGGGATCCTCTGGATTGTATGGCTCGCCACCGTATTCAAAATACGGGAATATCATAAACATAGAAGGGTAAATCGATGGAGACCCATCCACCGTTTTGGAAAATTATTTTTGTTCAGTTTTTCTCTCCATCAAGCGGCTGATCCACTTCAGAAAATATTATTGATCGGAAAAAAATTAACTTTCATTATCAAAATTGTGAACTTCCAGGTCAATTTCTAGGTACATGTCGAGATACTTAGCAAAGGCCTGGTAACTCAGATAAAGCGCTCTACGGGTGATGAAAAATACGTTTCCATGGTCAATTTTTTATGCTGAATCTTATGGAAGGGTCTAAAAGCATTTTTGAAATGAAAAAAAATCATTCATAAGGAGAGTCTGGAATTCTGGGGTCTTTTTGTGGAAAAGTGGATATATACACTGAATTTTGTCAGTGAAAACAACCACCAATCTCTAATATCTTAAAATATCTTATTGATGCGCAATGCCCTCACTCTCTTACACCACACCCTCAAGCACTTCTAGCAAATACCTTTTTGCAGAGGTGTCCTCAGCTGATAGCTGATCTGGATAGTTTTGATCGCAGTCCTGGGTTGTTTCTAATTACATAAACCATACCATTACGTGATTAGCCCTTTTATCTTGGCATTTGTTAAGATTGCCGGGCAGTAACTTTGAATGAAAACATCGATACTTTGTTCAATCAGATGGAACAAGGAATAGGGGTGATAAAACTAAAGATTGTCACACAAGAGCATCACCGACGATCGAGTATTACGCAATTCATTTCTTGATCGTTTTGATTTCTCCTCCCCTCTTTTTAGAGTAATGAAAATCTCGGATCTTCTGCAGAAGAAAATTATCAAGCATGATTAGAGCTGACCTTGTGTCCAGTGTCATCATTTAAGTCTGAAACAACGAACCAGAGTGAATGTAGGTCTCAGCTGTACAAATGAATTAATGGATGTGCTTGATTTTCTGGTTAAATCCAAACTGAAAAATTGAGGATACTTGACACTAGAAAACTTGCTGATTATCTTTCTTTGAAAAAAGCAATGAATGACAATTAAATGGTTTTCAAGGGTAATGTCCTTATGACACGCTCGAAATCTTAGAACAATAGAGATTACTATATCAGAGTTAATATTGATCATATGATACTCGGAATCGATCCTCTAGGTACGAAGACGCATGCACGAAAAGTTTAAATTGAAACGAATACGAATGCCGGATGAGTCACAGGATATCGTGTAGAATAAAGATCATTCAGCAGAATTATTTTTCTATTATATTTTGTACAAACTCAATGCCGTGGCCAAAATATTACCAACATCCAAGGAGACACGCAACGTCCACATCAAGAATAAAAGGAGTTAGAACAGTCTCATTCAAATTATTCATATTTTTAATCAGTCGATATGATATCACGGACACTCGTGTCCATTGGTTCTGTCCTAGATGTCATACATTGGAGTCAAATGAAATGAAAATTCATCAACGAATGCAAATCAACAAACAATCGAAGCCTCACTGATGCTGAATCAATGGATGAGGAATCAGACGATGTTTCTTATAATCTCGAATATCACCAAAATGCAGCAATAGAAAAATTATCCACTATCTTCCGATTATTGAATATAAAACCAATTCCCGACAAATAAATCGCTCACTTAGTTCTCGACTTTCTGTAAATGTTCTTATTCTTAGGATGGCTGTTCACCCCATTCATGCTGAAATCGATGAAGTATACTGATATCTTCATGGATTACGTGATGTGTTAGAAGGAAAACCTCAGGATCAACGCAATGCAAATCCACATAATCTGTTGATTAGTGAATCAAACGAGTTTTTGGATGGCCTGAATAGGTTGTTCGATGAAAGCGATGACAAAGAACAAGTCCGTTCGATGACAATCGCACCTCAATAATAGGGCCGAAAACAAGTCGAAAAGTGGTAAGCTATTTATTCTTAGTATTTTCCATCAGTAATCATTATTTGATTTGATTACCTTTCACTTGGCATTTTTCTATTGTTAGGTTTAATTCAGGACAAAACCAGACTCGCCAATCATTCGTTCTGAGAAAAACGAGGGAGTTTTAGCTTATCCACAGTGTTTAAATTTTACTGCGAAGATGGTATAAGTTGAGTGTCATGTAATGCCAAAGGCACGATCCTCATCAATAAACAACCGGTGCCGGTTCGATTTATGGAAATAACAGTCTTACGTTAGAAAAAGACACATTGTAGCTGCTGCTATTAGATAGTTACGTTTACCTAACTCTTTATTTCTTCAAACCAACTTCAACTAGAATCACTTCAACTCTAACTTCTTCCAATACGACTTTACTTAGGTCTCTTGACCAATAGATAGATATGAGAACAAAGAGAGAGGTAGTGATCGCAGATAGCGTCACTACCTAACAGCTGCTCAACGTTACTTGACACAAGTTACAACTACTTTCCACTACGTCTAGATATTTTTCTGTACTTATAACATACTCATGTCTGTTCAAAGTTCGGCGTTCTTCACTCGTCTTGAGTACTCCATCAAAAACAGATGATTTTCATGAAGAAAACTGACATTGACCTAAATGTCTGATAGAATCAATTGATGCAAGTTCTATTAAAAATGACATGGTTACTATATGATGTTCATTTTTTTAAAATGTATAGGCGCTTCGTAGCAAGATTGACAAGTTTTTACCTGATTTGCTCTGCTTATCCCTTCCTGATCACAGATCTTGGAATTAAAGAAATCTTTTTTTATAGTAACTCAATCTCTGTAAATATTCTTGAAAAGAGGCTATAAATATGTAGGGTATGACCTAAAAATCTATGAAGTAAGCTTTATTCGTATTATACGAATCTGTAGTTTTATAATCAAAGAATAATATTGTGAGAACTTTCCAGAAAAGTAGGCGTTTCAATCTCTTTTTACACTCCCCAAACTACTAATAAAAGCACAGCAGCTATGCTTACGCTATATTTAATTATTGCCTTAAAAATAGAAAAATTTAGTATATAGTAATGATAGTCAATGCGTAAGGTTCATCGGTGGCGAAAGTCAATTCACTGGGCCCTAGACTGACAGTGCTGAGGAGAAGAAATGCATGAACATGCGACAGGAAATCGGTTGTTTATATCAGCAGCTGGCGATGATATTTTCAAAGAGACCTGTAAAGGGGGTGGGAATAAGTAAAGCTGAGGTACGAATTAGACGGAAATTAAAGGTTTCAAGTAAAAGCACTAAAAGACAATACATAAATTATTATCATCAATGATAATGTATACATTGTCTGAATAATGCAAGTCGATTTATTCTGCTCTACTGGAGGTCTATAGGGCAGGGATATCGTAATGCATGAGAAAAGGTAGCCTACATAAGAATTAGAATATATTAGTATCTTGAATTTTAATAGCAAGACGGTGCAGTTGTGGGCGTGGTTGTGATTGCAGACTACCTTACACAAACACACAAGTACATATTCCATCACCCACATCCACTTCAGAAAATGGGAGAGAACGCGTTACGTAAAATTAAAAGCCCTCTTTTAAAAAGGGAAAACGTTCAAAAACAAAATGAAATATGTTCTTGGTGGTTCCGTTTAGGAACATTTTCCAGTTTTTTTAAACGCATTCTTGGTCGTTATCGCCTAAATATCCAATTCGCCGAGAGACCCTTTAGGTACAACTCGATGAGCTGTGCCCAATGGCGTTCTCCAATTTTTCGCAGCTCAAACCGCTACTTGAAATACTGTTTTTTTTGTAACCAGAGCTACCATCTATGAGGTACAACTGGTTGAAGCTTCCACCATTTCTCACACCACTTTCACTGTGTCATCCTCCAAAGCTCCCAAGCTTGAATCAGAATTGGCCTTAAATCAGATGAAGGCGAAGAATATGTCCTTTTTTTTCTAATAATGATTTTAGATAGTCTGAAATGTACTCATCAGTTCAAAGAATCCATTCTGATGTGTTTCTCTAGAGAATGCCCAGGAAAGCGGTCTCATTTCGATGAAATCTTATCTTGAGCGTTTCGAAAAAGAATGGATAGGAACGCACTCTATTAGCTTATTGGATGCTTCAGAATGCTTTCTATTCAGATAGAGAACGAGTTTTCAGTAGAGAAGAAAGCATTCCGTAATAGTGTGAAACAGTAAAGAATGAGTTCCTTTAGAATCAAAACGCTTCTTTGTGTGCATGAACATGTTCACTAAAATATGGAGTGCATTCTTCACGTCACAGACAAGTTTTCATGAAAGTGTTCCCTTTCGTTTGTTTTAGAAATATACTTCACTGGGAAATTAATTCGAATCAATATCTTTCCTTTCTGTTTCATATTACTTACCTTCTTATTACAAGACTAAAGTATTAATATAGTATGCAGCTGTAAGAACACAACATAATCTCTCATTATCGAATCTCTTTTTATTTTTCTTCTACAGTACGCTGATTCTATAAAGAATAATATGCCCATGTAATTTTTTTCTAAAATTTTAAGTATCTTTTAATCACCTTTAAAAAGATCAGCCGAACAGATTGAGTTGCAGAGGAGATATTTATCATTCACTCTATATGTATGGCATAATTATATTTACACTTGATAATCAAAAGGGCTAAAATACTTTCTTAAGCGTTCTCATCCTTTATTTTTCAAAAAAAAATAGACAAGCCAGAGTTACATGTAGATTTTATGAGAACAAACAAACTTGCAGTTTTCAAGCAGCATAAATTATATAATTAACTGTTTGGTAAGGCTGCACCTAGCTGAATTTTTGCCCAAGTCCCACAGAGCCTGTAAAGCTATGGTTAACCGTATTAGTATGAGAATCAGCATAATTAATTGTGATATTGGTTTGACCACGTGGTATTGCATGAGAATGAGAAGATTGGTCGCTACCGTGATTTTTAGTTGTCATTCCCCACCTACCTCCACCAAAACGTCCATCGGTTCCTGTCCGACCACCATGATCATGACCAGGATCATTAATGGAATGAGAACGGTAACCATCTGATGATGTAGAGAGAGAGAGAGAGAGCCTGAGCTATGATTATGCGATGGAATTTGATCAATAGTCAATTGATGCACAGTTTGACCGCCCATTGAACATAATGTTTTCACTCCAGCAGTATTTATTTCTAACTGGTTTACATCAACTGGTACTTGCCCACGAAAATCTGGTAAGTTAAATGTATGGCCGCTATGGATATTTCCATACTTAATATCAATTACACGAAATAGTGCTTGAAATTCGTTGCGCAAAACAGTCGAACCATTACAAAATAGTCAAGGAAAGGGTAAAAAGGTCACATTGCCTGAATAGAGTCGTATTTCATCGGCGAGAATCATCTTGGGAGTAGATAGTATCGATAAAATGGATGCAGTTGTCAAAGTCAAAGGCATAGATGTTGTTGTAGTGTATTTAGATATTTGTAGTTGAAAGCGCAAAAAATCAATGCACTTACAGTTCTCACAATTGCGCCGTCTTTCTTTTTGGCAATTTTAATTGTTTTGATAAGATACCAACTTGTACTTGGCCCATTAAATCAGTCAATTTATAAACTCGAAAAGATTTTGAAATTATGTTTTCATCTTTGAATGCCAATTCTGTACCCTGTTGTGTAAACATACGTTGAATATCATCTGATGAAAATTGATTATGTGTTGTTTGATCCAGTTGATTGTAGAGAGCATTAGATGAACTGTCTGCTGTTCTCCATAAGCGCTAGCACTGGCCTTTGCGCCAACGCTACCAAATGGACTACTCAAATGAACTTCCGTACTGATAGAAGCACCACCTTCAGCTGAATTGCTATGGGCATGTTGATTCATATTTGCTTGATTAAAGTCGTAGTATATACTTGTATCACTACGTCGTTTCGTTTCGGTTTCATTGTAAGTAAATATTTTACTTAGCTCTTCAGTAATATGATCCGAATTCAGATCATACGGTGATCACATTTGACCAAATATGTCAGTTTCAATAGCTGTTTCTTTTGAATTTTGCATAGCTAAACAAAAATGTATAATGTATTATTGAGGGTAAATCTCAACGACACGATATAATTCGAATCCTCTCCCCAGGGAAAGCGAATATTTGCCGTAAAATCCGCATCTATTGACTTTTTTGATATGCACAATACTTTAATTTTAATTCAATTGAATTTTAATGTGTAAAAGAAAAGAAAAGGACATATGTCAATCGTGAATCAAGTCCATAGCTCTTTCTATTTAAAGATCATCTGAACAATCACCATTGCCTTGTGTTTTTTTACTAACGTAGCAAGTGTACTTAGGAATAGCTACATAATAATAATAATGATGATGTAATCGTTAAATAGGAGTAGATTTTTGAATAAGCCAGTTGACATTACGTTTCCATGTTGAAAAGCCTTTTAAGATAAATATTCGATCATTTACAATTTGTAATATGATCTATACTTTTTGTCAATATTCATTGAACGTGCTCTTGAATGTTCTCATTCCATTTTAGGCTTATAATATCTCACGTTTGGTGATTTCTTAGCTTTGTGTTGTTTTTCTTTCTTCCTTTCTACCTTTCTTCGATAGGAGTCTGTGCAATATGATTAAAATGTATATGAATATCGTAAAGATGAAGTAAAACGAACTTTTTTTTGTTTAAATTGTTATTGAAAAAAGGGAAATGTTGATGTGAGTCTTTCCTTGGAATTAATCTGACAATCATATTGATAACCATTGTCTTATTTTAACTTGATAATTTGCTCATAAATTATGTGGCCTCAATCCAGAATTATGACCTGAACGATCATAACAATTTAGGGAGATTTGCACAAATTTTTGTTTTGATCAATAGAAAGTCAAAATCGTTTGTAGAATTTAATAAAAAAAAACTCAAGGACATTCTTGGCACCAATCAGTTCACATGTTAATAAAAACAAAATTATCCTTGAAACACAACTGCTTCACTAATTTCATTCTCTGTACATCCACATTTATAGAAATATTGTCTGTAAATAAACTATGAAAAATAAGTTTGACCATAATCTATTGTAATATATAAAGTTTCTTAAACAATACGATGCGTGTATGTTAATAACAAAGAAAAACCATTGTGCACACACACAAAATGACTAACTGACTTTCAAGGTTACCACTAACGCTATCTATTAGAAAAGGCTGACACGTCCACAGAGTTATTTTCTAATCGGTTAAATGTGGAAGCTCCGCTTTTCTTTTCAAGAATCTGCCATTTTTGTTCCAGTTGTGTTTTCTCTTTTGATTTTTAAGATCCATATCAGGTACAAAAATACAATTGAAATGAATTGTTTCAACGTTTATTTAATAGACGAATGCCATTTATTCGGAACTTCTTCGAACAAACTTCATTATTGAATAATAAAGATCTTCCTAAGCAAAACTTTTAAGAATGAATCATTTATTTTCTCCTACGACGTACGTATCTAGCTTGTCAAACAGTGATGCAACTATTTGATTAGAACAAGTAATATTATTTTTCAAAAACAGAAACAGTAAGAAGAAGAGAATTTATTTGATAAGAAGACATCGCTTAGTGTTGACATATTTAATGAACACGTTTGTTTACTAATTATCAGTTCATTGCCATATACAAGTGCATGATATTTATTAAAGAAAACTAATTTAATCCCTATAGAAAGAGAATTTTGTAGTAGAACAATGAAAACATTAGACACTCATGAAAGAAATTTTTCATTTTTAGATGTTTTGTAAAATAAATCTGAATATATGTCTTTATTATCTTATAACGTTGGCTATACCTGCATATGGAATTGATACTGAATTAACTGTTGTCGTCCTAGCTAATCAACGTGAATGTTTTCATGAAATGCTTGAAAAAGATGTAACAGTTGAAATCGAATATGAAGTATTAGCTGGTGGTGATTCGGACATAAACTATTGGTTTTATTCTCCAGAAAATCGCATTTTACAAACGGAATTTAAAAAACATGATGGTCATCAAACATTAAAATTAGAAGAAACCGGAGAATATCGTTTCTGTTTTGATAATTCCTTTTCACGATTTAGTCAAAAACACGTTTATTTCAGTTTAAGATCTCTTTATGAACACGGCAAAAGTGATAATGTCACAGAGGATTGGATGAATTCAATTAGTAAAGATGAACTCGGTGAATTACAAAGTAAACTCGAAAATATTAAAGTAAGAAAAGAACAGTTTTCTAATAGAAATACTTGAATTTAACAGAACAATGTAGTTAATTAAATCATAACTTGATTACAATTTTTCTAACAAAGAGTGATGATTGGTTCTCGAATTAAGATCTTTAGACACTTTATTTGAAATTTCAAACTACATTTTCTTTGTAAGAGATTAAGTATCGTTTGCAGGTTAAGTTTAGATTCTATCAATTCAATATCTCACGAAAGAAAAGTTTTTTTTTAAATATCCAGGCATCCTAACCACAAGTAATAACATGCTTTAGCCTCAAATAGTATCATTAAAATTGCTTTAATCCTGAAGTAAAGGTCTCGACACATTTACACTGGTGAAGTTTTTCATATTGGCATCTTTAAATGTTCTCATCGTACGATCTATATAGATGTTGAATTCTGTTCTTGCTTACTCTATTATATTATTTGATAGTATAGCAGTAAAGAGATCTACAAAAATTCAATACTTTTAGATTAATAGATAAGCTATCAAATAGTCCTTTAGACTTATTTGATTGATAGGTATGTCGAATAGCCAATAGATTTTTAACAATATTTTGTAATAGATCAAGACGATTCATAATGTCAAATAAAAGATTTTCAAAACAAAACTCTTACATAGAATCTAATCTTCAAACTTATTACTTCCGTATTGAATTTCATGATGAGTAATCGAAGTTTGTTTTTCGTCATCGAATTTAACACATAGCAATCAATTTTTGTTTTTCTTTTTGTAAAATAATGTAACATTTTGAAATGTTAGATTAATTGTCATACATAGGATGTTAAGCTCGATGTCTTCTCAGTTTATTCTTGACATGATGAAATAAATTTTCAAAGCGATTCTCTAATATTGAAATTTTCCACTAGACTTCATTTCAATGTATATGGGATAATATGGAAATAGCTCAACGATACCAAAATCATTTAAAAATCTTTGAAGTACGTGATCGTGTTGTAATTGAAAATAGTTTTCATCGTGTAAATTTCTGGTCGATTATAAATTCAATTCTTATGTTTATTGTAACAATAATACAAGTTATAACTATTCGTAGTTTATTTGAAAATAAATCTGCTTATGGTAAATTTTTACGTGGAAGAAAACACTGATAAAAAAATATTTTATAAAATAAAAACATTTATTTTCCATTCCATTCCATTATTGTTTTGTTATGTTATGGTTTTTGTTTTTTATTTTTTTGCTCGTTTTCTTTTGTCTGTTATTTTTTTTGGAGGAACAAAAATATAGAAACAATTAATGCAATGAAACATAGATATAGTTTTTGTGTTTTTTTAGTATCGTTATCAAAATGAATTGGTAATCCTTTAGGCTTTCGTTTTTGTCTTTCATCTTTTTAAGTATTTATTCGTTCTTTGACGAGAGGTTGTTATTCGAAAAAGTATGTACATAATCATAGTTTTTTTTTCATTATATATTCATTTATTCTTCTTTATTCAGTAGATATATACAAACCTATTGAGAAGAAATGAATAATATACTTCACATATCAATTTTTAAAAAGCAACACAGACGCAGAATGTTAATATAATACAAACGGATTTTTTTCATTAGTTTCTTCTGTTTTATTTTGATCCTTCAACATCTATCTCAATTATGGTCAGCTCGAATAAATGAAGAGAGATGACTGCCCGTCGATAACATACAAAATTGTGTTCGTGTGTATATACATATATATGTGTCTTTAAAAAGAGAACAGCCGTTCTTCATCATCATCGTATTCGCTTGCTTCTCTTCTCGTTCATCTATCTATACATAGGAATATTTGAGCGGTATAGACGCATGGTATTGTTGTGTTGTTCTGTTCTTTTTTTTTGCAATGTTGTCCGGACGAGCTTTCGCTTGTGCCTACGTTTAGTAGGAGGAGAAGAAAAAGAAGAAGAAGGTGCCAACATCAACATAGACGATTGAACATATTTGCATTGTAATCGTTCACGAGAGACATTCATTGTGATCGTCGATAGGCTTGCCTCATAACAAAAAATTGAAGTAGTTTCACTTCAGGTAGTTTTACTCAATTCTTATACTTTTTATAAAAATGAAATGCTTATTTATGAGAAACGAAAGAATTTCGAATATATATATATATATATATATATATATATATGTATATGATATGATAAATTCTTTTTCGTATTAATATTGAAAATGAAATAAAAAACGAGAGAAAGTGACAGAACAAGTAATCAAATAGTATTGAGAGAAAAAAGAAATAAGAAAGAGAGCAGATCCTTTGCCGTCATTGATAATCAACGTTGTATAGTGAAGGAGAGCAATCGTTCGTACTCTTTATTTGCTTTGATCAAAGCCTCCGCATCCGTGCATGCACATATTTGTATCTGGATCGATCTTTGAATCGTCAAGTATACTCGTTTTTATTTATGTTCATTTACTGATTTTTTTCTCTCGCACTGTCAAAACAATTGTCTCGATCTAATCCATTCGAACCGTAACCCTATCAGATTTCCATATCTATATGACTTATTCTTTGTAGATTTAATAATTTTAGAAAGGTTTTTTTGTATTCTATTTTAACGATGACAACTAACGGTAGTCATAATAATGAACCTAGACCACGTTTATGTCATCTTCGACGATGGCCAAATTTTGTTGGCTATGGTTTTAATTTACATTGTGAAAAATCTCGTCCAGGTCAATATATTGGCAAAGTTGATCCTGACTCACCAGCTGAATCAGCTGGCTTACGTGAATATGATCGTATAATTGAAGTCAATTTTGTTCCTATTGGAAATGAAAATCATAAACAAGTTGTATCACGAATAAAAGAAGGTGTTACAAGAAATGGAACAAAATATGCTGATGAAGTTATTTTACTTGTACTTGATCCTGATGCTGATGTCTATTTTAAGAATAAATCTGTTATTGTTCGAAGTTCAGATCCAAATGTTTTAAAACTTGAAGCTGAAAATAGAGATGGACTAGGTTTGATTTAATAAAGCGAAGAAGTTGAAAACAACATCATATACATATATATTTATTTTCTCTTATAGCAGAAAATGGAAATCAGTCACCTCATTCATCTAATAAAAGTATTGGTAAGACAGATTCACCTATCATTCAAGAAACATCACCAAGAACAATACACAATGAACCCAATCGAGAGTATAAACATGTCACTGATTTTACCGGTCCGACAGTTACACATACAACTAAGGTAAGAATATGTATGTTTAACTTGTCTCTTTCTTTTTCAAATAATCCGTTTTCGACAAACTATTTGAGTAGAATGTCAAAAAAGAATGTTTCTTACTTGACATTATCTATTATTTGCTTGCGTTATGGTAGACTTTTGGTTTTCAATTGTTTCTTGTTGTTGTTGTTTCTCATGTCGATATGATCAAAGAAAATAAACTTACATTTGGAAGCCATACGCACCTTAGAAGACATTAAAATATCATTGAACTGAGTGTTTTTTTTCTTCTATTGAATTCAAGAGATTGTTTCTTGTTGTTCGTATTTTAACATTATATTGAAGCGTTAGAAAAGAAATTGACTTTGAACATCTTGAATTCGATGGATAATATCAATCTTGACTTTTCTAATTGAATCAATAGGTGCTAGACAGCGTTTATTCTGTTAATCATTTTCTGCTTCGTTTTTACTTTATAGTTGTAATTTGAATAGTCTCTAGTGATTTGTGATCGACATTCGCAATTGTTCTACTAATCGTAATTTTTATCCTACATTGATTAACCTTCTATGAGAAATTTAATCTTTTCAAAAACAAAATTTGATGATTTCAATATTTGCATTCAATTCTAATGATCGAGATGGAGAGAGAGAGAAATAAATACTAATCGATAATTTTCTTTTCTCCACGAATTCGATTATTTATGATTTTAATCGACAGTTAGTACCAACTATCTTTCTTAAGGTTTCAAATGATAAAATATTTATCGATGCTTACAATGACTATTGAGAATTCGAGAAAATATCGAATGAATTAAATAAAACAAATCTCAAGAGAAATGTATAGTAATCTAATCGAAAACATCTGTAATGTTCTCTTTGAATAATGACGAATATAAAAATGTCAAAATTGTTTATTGCCACTCTATCAAATTTCAAATATGCGAACACGTCTATATTACAAAAACTCTATCGAAAATTATTGATACTATGTTCATATATCATTTTATTCTAGACTGACAGTTCACCGGCAACATCAAGAGCGTCCGATCAAGATTATGATCATACCCACGATCATGAAAATTATTTTCAACCCTCTTCACCTTCTCTAGACAAAGAAAAACATAAAGATTTTATTCCCGCTGCTGATTCATCACCGAAATCTCTCACGAAAAATGATTATCACGTAAAACCTGTGGACAGTGATGGTTCTCAAACTAGTCCACCTCAATCATCGTCAGCTAATGGGCAAGGAACACCACTTGAACTTAGTAAGACTCATTTAAATTGATTTCTAATTTCGATTCATATTTTTCTTATGTTCAGAAATGTCAGCTGCTGAATTTCGAGAGCAGTTAAAAGCGAAAAATGCTCGTAAGCGTGACCCACGTCAAGATCAAATGTCTATGAAACAAAAACATGACTTAATTGATCGCTTGTAAATTTCGCTGCGAAAATAAAACAAAATGAGAATGAAAAAAAAAAGAAGAACTGAACGTTTTCCTTGCTAACTTTTTTTGATTCTATAATTTTTTCTTGCACTTGTTTCTACTAGCTTTACTATTTAAGTCTTTATGCGCGTGTGTGTTTGTCTCTTATCGTTTTACTACTTTTTTTTCTCGCTTAGAGAAACTTCGCACATAGTACATAACAGTGAACATTGTTCAACTCGATGAATGCTTCATAGAAGAACAACAACAACAACAAAAAGACATATATATTTGAATATCAGTAGATGATGTTAATTTTTTTTCTTCGGAAAACTAAAAAGAAAAGAACAAGATTTTGTATGTACGTGTGCGTTTTTATTTCTTTGTATATTGTGAGATTATTGTTGGCTGATCTTATTTCCTTATTATTATTGTTGTGCTTTTCGTCCAAAGAAACGTGTGATGATCGATATATTGAAAACAAAAGTAAAATAAAAAAAAACAAAAGAGAATATATCAAAATGATATGTAACAGATTAGTATTAGAGTTCGACTCAGGAAAAACTCTGTTAAATTAGACGTATGAAGAATTTCGAATGTTGCAAATAGCGTCTGATATGTTTTAAAGCATAGTTCTCAAGAGATAATTTCATCTCGAATGCGACCAACAGAAAGCATTTTCATTATTATATCACTCATACGCTTTTAGTGAACCAATCGAAGTTTTTGTTCTTTCAAGTATATATTGAATTATGTTCTGATTGATGTAATTCTGTATGATGCTATGCTTATATTTCACTGCAATATTTAGTCCAGATATAGTGTTTCTATTTCAACATCTTGACCATGAGTAGGCGTAGAGTTCAGAGAAAAAAAATGTTGATAATCGTTGATATTTCGAATAAGAAAATCATTATCATGAATGTGCAACTCATCATCGCGTTGTATTGTACCAATTCATGCGCTAGTATTGAATATATCATCAAGCCCAGTTGTCAGTTTGAATTCTGTTTCTAATTGATTAACTCTTTCATTGAAAATATTTGTATGATTTATATTGATTTCATATCATACGACATTTATTGCGATGCATGACTTGTCCAGATAATCAGTACCATCATCTATATTCAAGTTCACTCTCTACAACGAGAACGTTGTGTGAAAAAAAATTTCTTATCTTAATATAGTAAAGCGAGTTGAATGAATATGATTTGAAGCCTGAGACTGAGTAAGAAATACTAAGTAAACAAGAAGAACGAGTGCTTTTTCTTGGATTTGATTTCCACGCAGAAGTTTCTTTGATGTTTGCGTCAGACAGTGCAAATGACTTTTTAGGAGGCATAAAAAGAGATTAAGGATTATCGAGCTATTTCTTAGTGTATTAGTCAGATGTTTTACTACGCTTAGTCGGCATTATTTGTACGTGATACACAAGCTTATGAGCGTCTCTGTGAAAGTGTGTTGGTCGATGTATTGCGGGATAAATAAAGAGCTAGAGTAGGAAAAGATCTCTTGTTTTTTTTTTATAGACAAAGACAATCAGCGAACGAAAGTGTGATTAGATAAGAGTAAAATCAATCTCTCTAGTAGAATCAGATCACTACTGAATTATTGATGAAAAATTTCAAAATTTTTGACTTTACATAAGTAGAAGTAATTTTAAAAATCATCTTACCGGAATCTCTAGAGTAGATATGAAATTCGCTCGATGTGATGATACAGTAATCGTTCATACCAAAATTTCTACTGATTTTTATGAAATTTTGTGGCTTTTTACGAAGAATTTAATGAAAGTTTATCATAACTGCGAATTTCTGCATCAAATAATAGTCTCCTTTTTTAAGAATATAATACAGTGCACAATTTTCTTACTATAAATTCTGCTGATAGTTAACGTTCTATTACTTTAATTTCACAATATATTTTGCTGACAAACAAAAAGACATCTAGACCACATACAGTTCTCATTTCGATTTCTAAAGTATTCCAATTAAAATCTGTTGCTCATACATAAAACATGAATGTTCAATCACGTTATTTGATTCTTTAACAAAAAAAAAAGAAGAATTTTTTTTACAATAACGTTTATAGGATAAGAACATAATCGTGTCAAATAATCATAGTATCATTAGAATTGTATAGTTTTACCTTCGTTCACGAGAGAAATTAAATATTTGATTTAATAGAAACAGGACATTTGAACTTTTCATTTACGTGAATATAAAAAATGATTTTATAAACAACATTGACTCTGAATATTTTATTAAATTTTCTAATTAGCTCGTAAGTGTAGTGAATAAGTTAAATAGAAAATCGAGCAAGTCATTGGCGTATACTGCCATCTGATGGTTTCATTTTTTCTTCCAACTTGTTCCATCAAGGTTTATCCATAGAAACTGGTAAGTGTGATGAAGAGGAAGATTCTTTTCGGCTTTTATTTTGAATCTCTTACACATTATAATCCTTGAAATCAATCATAATGAGTAAGAACATGGAAATTTTTATTTTCAAATGAAAACATTCGCTGTATTTTTACTATTCGCTTCATAGGTACTGTGTTCGATGATATACTCGGCAATTTAGATTTCAAGAAGAGTGGTAAATTAATCAGAGTCGAAATGATACTTTTAGTTTTTTGTTTTATTTATTTATTTATTTAGACAAACCAACAGCACGTACAAAAGCCCAAGTGTCTCATGATGACATGGATGACGATTGGCTTACTTCTACAACCGTAAATTAATTTTAGGTAAATAAATTTCAATTTGGCCTATATTTTAGGATACAAAGAAATCAACAGCGAAAACAAATTTGAAACGACAAACTGAAATTGTTGATGATGCTGATCCTGATGATGGATGGAATCGTACAGCTGCTTCAAGCATTTCTTACGTGCCGAGCTTTGGTGGTACTGGTACTTTGAATAGTGCAAATTTCAGTATGTTAAATTTTTATAATTGATTTAATTCAATAATTTTTGAAAGATAGTACAATGAGTCGTAACATAGATCAAAATTTCTATTAACAAGTACAGAAAATTTGAACAGTTATATGATTTGTTGACAGGTGAAAATAGCTTATCATGAAATGTTTTATACCTTTTCATTTACTGCTATTTTACAATAAGAACATAAAATTGATTGGTGTATACGAAACATACTTTTATTATACTTATATCTAAAGGAACTTGCTTGAAAAATATGTATTCCTAATACTAATGATATGTTCTTGTAAAGTTATGACTAGTAATCCAGTATTTAAATGCGTAGGAGATTTTCTATTGTATTCGACTCTCAATTGTAACATTAGATAGATTTCCTCTGTATAAAAATCCAGTTGCTTTCATTTTGAATTAATGAATAAGAAAAAAGTTCAAAACTATCGTCAGCATATCGATATCAATCTGTATTGAATTTCAATAAATTTATTTTACATGTAACATATAGCTCAAGGTCAAGATACCATACAACGTATAATAAATCAGCCCCGACCAGCAACCTCAAGTGGTTCTCGAAAATACGACGATTTATTCGGTGGTAATAATGAAGCTATTATCTTTTTTTCTTTAATCTATTTTATCTTAAATTCAGATTCACCACCAAAAAGTTCTACACTAGGTGATATGGATAAAACAAAGAGAACAGTTCGGTAAGATATACGTAAATATCGAGAGTTAAGAAATAATAACTATTTTTGTTAATAGATTTGAAGATCCTAACCCTCAACGTCCTTCTACCGCTCCATCAGTAGCAGATAAAATGCAAAACCAATCGAATACTAGTGTATTATCATCACTGCGTACAGGTCTTGAACCGAATAAATCTACTGATATGTTTTCTTCAATTAAAACAACGACTGGATCGAGTAAAGCAAATGATTGGCTTGGTCTTAACGATGGATCAAGCGATGAAGATGAATTTCCAACACATACAACAAAAAAATCCGAGTCTGCTGTTACTACTCTTGTTAAAAAAACAGCTGCATTACCCTTTCACGAAGCACCTCCAAAAGTAGCGGAACCACCGAGAAAATCTGTATTAGATGGTTTACTTGAAGATGATCGACGTGCTTTAACAGAAAAGATAACTCCACCAATAAAAGTTCCAGCACCTAAGATTACACCAGATTTTCTATTCGATGATCGAACAAGTTCAAGTGCACGATCAGCTTCAGTTGGAATATCAAAACCTCAATTATTTACCGATAGTCAAGAATTAAAACCACCTACGAAATCTTCATACGATCAGAAAACTGGTTTCGGTATACAGTTTTTCTCTGCATTGGCTTTCGAAAAACTTCCTTTTTGTTTCTCGATTTGTAGATATCAATATGTTTAAAGACACACCAAAAGATTCTATTTTCACTACAGATCAACAGATTTCAACAGCAACCAGAGGAAATGCATCGACAACAAATGTTAGTAGATAATTCGGCAAAGTTTTTTTGTTTTGTCATTATATCTTTTATGTGATTATTATTATAGCTTGAATTGAAAAAACTTGAATTCGAAAACAATGAACTGAAAATGACAGTTGAACATATGAAACGACAACATGAAATTGAAATGTCAATGCTCGAAGAAGGTTATAAAAATCGGCTGGAATACGTAGAGAAATCATGCGAAAGAAGAGAATCAAGGTAGGATTAATTTTTTCATTGCGTTACAAGTTATTCTTTTTTAAATAATTAATAATATGCAAAAGTGTTTTTTTCTTTTGAAGATTAAAAGAAGAAAATGAACATTTGCTTCGTCAATTACAAGATCGTACTCAACAATATGAAAATGAAAAATCCACTTTACTAGCTGATCATCAACGGCGTTTAGATGATGTACAACGAGATCGAACAACAGAACTTGAAAATCTACGAACATTACAACGGTTTCTACTTAATTCATCGTCATGATTATTGATCAAAACCATTTATTTCTATTTTTAGACAAACTCTTGATCATCTACGACGAGAACATGAACAAACTATTCAACGTTTAAAACAACTTAAACAAGAAGAAATATCAACAGCACTTGATGTAACAACGCATACAAGGTAAAAATAACAAACAAAACTAGACATTTTATCATTTCTTTCAAAATTTTATCTTACCTAGAGCATTTGAATCTGTTGTCGATCATATGGAACAAAATGCAAAAAATATCGATGAACTTCGACTTAAAATCGAGGCCAAACATAGTTCTGCTTTGACAGATAAAGATATTGAATCAAGAGCAAAAGCACAACAGCTTAAAGGTACACTCAAAGAAAAATAAATAATATAATTACCTTGCATTATTTTTCTTTTGCTTGTAGCTTATGAAGAACGTTTGCACTTGCAAGCAAATGATTCGGAACGTGAACGCAAAAATTTACAAGAACTTATTTCACGTTTAGAAGTGCATTTATCAGAACAAACAAAACTTGTTGAAGAAGTATGCATCGTAGATTTTAAGGAAATAGTTCAGAAACGAAATTTTTCTGTTTGATAACTTTTGTTTTTTAGGAACGATGGAAAGCTTTACAAGCTCAGAAACGTATGGAAGCTATGCAAGATGCATTGAATGGTGAACAACGTTTATATATGGAAAAATTAGCACGTGATCGTTCGGAAATTCAACGTAGTAAAGATCAATTACTTGACGATCAAAAAATAGCATTAGCTAGCATTTATGAAAGTCGTTCACAATTAGCTGATGAACGAGCAAAAGTTGAAGCTTTACAAAAGAGTTTTCAAGAACAAAAGCATCGAGATATGCTTCAAAATGCTACAGTAAATTTTGTAATAAAATATTTCGATTGTATACATATGCTGTTATTTTTCTCAATAAGATCGACGCTGAAACGCGTGCACAACAGAAACTAGTTGCCGAACAATTAGCACGTGTTGAACGACGCGAACAAGAATTAATTAAACGGGAAGAAGCATTTATTTTAGAGAAACGTTCACTAAATGAATTAAGGCAACATCTTGATATTGAACAAGTCAATATTAGAAGTCAACAAGAAGATATAAAACAAAAATTAATTGAAATCGAACATGCCAATGAAGTTATTAAAAAAGAAAAAGATCGTTTGTCACAACTCTATTTTGAATTGCATGCACTCGATGGAAAAAATACTGGACGACTTCAACAATTACAAAGATCTATTCATAATCTACGGCAACAAGAAGAAAATATGAATGAAGTAAATCATCGATCTGTTTCTTGTGGCTTTCTTTCAAATAGATAGAGATTCTTTTAATCGAAAACGTCATGCGACAGCGTATATGATCTTAAGAAAAATACGTACAGATTTTTTTACACTCCTGCTGTAATGTATAGGGTATGACCATTTTGTCAATCTCAAATTTCTATTTTTGTATTTGATTGTAAGCCGATACTGCACCACTATATAGTCAACAATTGTACAGTTGTTCAGAATCACTTCCGATCGAATACTCGTAAAATTATTCAGTACAATACCTGAAATGTACGTGTGTTACCTAATCAACTATGAAGTAATACAATATGACCAAAGGGTTGTGCTGTGAATTTTACTTAAGTAAAAATTGAATGGAAAATATGTTATTTTTATCGAACAGTATATATCCTATTGAAGGAAATCATTTGAAATTTCAACTACAAGTCGTCCTTATTGACAATTAAAAAATGATTAGAGTAGATAGAAACTGTGCTTCCGAGGATTACAGTTATTGAAACACATAGCGTGTATCAGCGCTTCTAAAAATAAATATTGTCCCTCATGGACTCTGAAATAGAATCAGCATAACACACTATCTATTATATCGAGTTATTACAATAAAAACGTTGATTTATAAAATATAATACTCATACTTGTATTACAACAGTGGAGTTTTTTGTAGAAAATGTTTTCACCATTACGTTATTTTTAGCAATATACTCGTATGTCGAATGAACGAGAAAATCTAAAACATATTCGATCAAAGTCTCCATTTAAAAAATCATCTTCAGTTGTCGATCCAGGATTTTCAAGTAAAATTGTCTTTGTAATCTAGTTTCATGAAAGCGATTTATTGAGTTTTTTTTCCAGCTTTACAACTAGCTGCAGCAGCACCAATTTCACCGATAACTTCTTCTCAACAATCAATCGAAGAAAGTGTTATTCTACGAACCTTACGTATGAACGCTCTTCAAGTATGCTCGATTTAATGAATAATTATAATTTAATTGTAAAATTTATCTTCTGTTTAGGATCAATTATATATTCAAGATGAAATGTCATTTCTTAACAGCATACGTGCTGGTAATCATCTATCGTCACGCAGTACAAGTCTTTCCAATATTCATCGTCACTCCGAAACGAATTTACTGAGGACAAATCAATAGTTTTGAAAAGATTTCTTTTCTTATGTATTTATAGATGTTAGAAAAGAAAAAAAACCGGAAAATCATTAATTAATTGCTTTTGCTTTTACTGTTTTGTTTTCTTTTTTAATTGTATTTTTATTTTCCAAGTATCTGCTTTTTTTTATAACAAGAATATTTGATAAAGTTCAGCATTCGAGGGTAGACAGTGTAATGAGAATAAGAATAGAAACAGATTCAAATAATTGAAAATAACCAAAAAACAAAACAAAAAAGCTCTGTTTTATATCAAACATATTGCTCTCTTGATTATATACAGTCAAAAGGACAAGCGTTGTCATTTAAATAAAAATCATTCAAACAACATACAACAATATTTAACATCACTGATTGTTCGACAGTAAGTATATTACGGATTGTTATGTGATATAAAGAAAGGAGATGTTTTGAGCTTGACTATCTTGTTCTATGATGTCGTGCGTATGCTTTGTTGACCTTATGATAATATCAAGGTATTCATCAGCCATTCGTTCTGACGTAATAAATTCGGTACGTGACTATTAGAAAATTATATGGCAGGTACATACATTTTTTGGTAAAAATTGGAGGATAATTCAAAATATTTCGGATTTGATTGTGCATCATTGATCGTTTGTAACCATGTAAATATCGTTACGAGACACTGGTTTGATTATATAGTGTAGAAGTTTTTTTTTTCGTTTCAAAGTTTTTGCAATACGATATGTATTTTATCGCCTACCTATGTTGTCCTGAAGTTTTCGTAGATGCAACATGTACTTTTACCTAGTTGTTATGTAACGTTATAATAAATGCGAAAAACTGACTTCTTTGCTTTCAATCACAGGAGATCAACTTGTATGTGTATTCTTTAAATTCAGTAAAATATATTTTGTAACACAAATGGGAAGAAAAAATACTTTCTGTTTCATAATCATCGCATGATATGTACGACATGCTATATAATGAAATTATATTCCATAGATAGGCATAATTAGAAGCTATTAATTAAGTCGTACAATTAGTCAAATTTGCATTCACTTCTTTTTTAAATCTCGAACCTATATTTTAATGTAATTTGGATATTTAATTTGCACTCTCATTCATAAAATATTACCTAGATGAATTATTTATATATTTAACTGTGCAATATAATTATAGATTCACTTTTTCGAGTAAAAAAAATGTACTTAAATTCAGTAGCAATTCGATTTGTGTGTTGCAAAATCCACCCGTTTAGCTTGCTTCCGATTTCTTTCAGTCGACAATGATGAAAGAAGAGAAGAAAAATGTAACGAGCACGAGTGACGATGTAGATAAGAACAAGAAGAATATGACCAAAAAATGACTGCCTCTACAATAAACACATAAGATGAGTTATTACTGTTTGTTTTATTTCGTTCATTCATACATTCAAGAATTAGTAGTTCATGTCAGGTAAAAAATTTAAAAAAAAAACAGAAAAAAATTTGCTATTTCACAAATTCTGTGAACCATTCAGTATTCTATTGTCTTTTTATTCTAGCCAACAATAATTTCCAATGTCTACCAATAACGATGATATCCCCAACAATCGAACGATTTTGCGGAAGTGAGTATAGAAGATTTTTCTATTTCAGCACATCAGCCACAAAATGTATCACGAGCTAAGCAAATGTAAAGGTCGAAAAAAGATGTCCTCTCACGTAGTGTGTGGGGGCTAGGTGGTGTACGACTGTATAAAGAGATAATATACATATATAATTACGCTAGGCAAGGATTTTATTTGAGCTAATGACAAGGGGGGAAAAGCTGATTTAAATCACAGTAAAACTCAACTTACAATCAATATAAATTAACTGTATTGGAATGAGTTTGCGTGAGTTTCGGTGCCTTTGAATGATTTTCAGTAATAATTTATGATTTGGAATAGTTTTTAGTTAGTTTAGCAAATTTTTCGTTTTCTCAAACTCATTTTAAATCAGCTAAACTCAGAAAAATCATGAAACTCATAAATCACTTTTTCCCCCTTGGCTAATGATCTACATTCGATGGAAATTTACATTTGTGTAAAAATCTAAGTCATTAGTCTAGTTTTACTATCAGCTGATCTACTACTTATATATCGGGTAATCATTGATTGACTAAAAATTCAACCATTCATAATAAACAGAATGGTCATGTTCTTATACATCATTTCGATCACACTAGCAACTTTCCATTGAGCATAGCAGATCAAGATACCGGCAAAGGATTGTGTCCGTAGTTTCGTCATAGAGACACAATATTCTGATGAGTCGTATTAAATACTTTCTGGTATCGACAACTCTTGTATTCATGCTGTACTCTATTTTACAATGAGTCACAAACTGAAAATCTCACAATAACATAAATAATGGAACTGATTTAAAAAAGAAAGGCAGGTGTAAATCATAAAAGTTTCAACGATCGAAATATATCTTCAACTTGAGATTCTATCTTTTCAAATCGTTTAAGAAATTTGCTTATAAATATTCTTTATATATAGGCGAAATCTGTTCGAATATCTATTCCTTAAGTTTAATAAATTTTATGAGAGTCAATTTTCAACTGTTGGTAAACATATTGGCAGTAGACCCTATGTATTTATTTGCATTCCGTTTCTCTTAACGGGTCTTTGCTTAATGGGGTTTTTACGTTTAAATATGAACAATAATGCTGACGAATTATTTATTCCGGTCAATAGTAAAAGTTTACGTGATCGAGATATAGTAGCGAAATTATTGCCAATGAATTATGATGAATATTATCTTCATCAAGATTATGATTTTGGTTTATTTGGCGATGTTATATTTATAGCAAAGGATTATGGAGATATAGCACGGCCAGTTGTAAAAACTGAACTTGAACGTATCTATAATCTTGCACAACACGTTAATGTCACATATAATAATCAAACATATTTTTATAAAGATCTTTGTGCAAAACGTATTAATACATGTGTCACTGAAGGAGACGTATTTTTTCGTGAGAACTTTTGGAAACGTTTAAACGATACAGAATTACATAAATATATGGTTAATGATCTTTACACGGATGATGATGGCGTACCAAATTTACTAACATTCATATTTGGAAAGAATTTAAAAATCGATTTAGACAAAGGAACATTGTATGCTAAAACACTGAAGTTACGTTTTAATTTACGGCGAACAGTAATGAAAAATAATAAAAATGAAAATATTGAAATTATTAGTCGCATGTGGGAACAAGCATTTTTAAAATTTTTTCAACATTTTGAATCGATTATGATCGATGTGTCTTATTCAGTATCAACATCGATTGATCAAGAACTTGAAAATAATGTTAATTTAGGTAAGAAGAAAACTTAATACTGATGACTCTACGTTTATTCTTTTGTCTCTATAGATATGTTCTTAGTAGTTATAACATTCGTAGTAATGATTATTGTTGCTACGATTTGTCTATCATTACGTGGTCCAATGTCACAATCACCAGCGTATTTATCCGCGATTGGTGTTCTAGCAACAATGTTGGGATTAGTTTCTGGTTTTGGATTTTGTTCACTTATTGGTATACCTATGTGTTCATTAGTATTTGCTACACCGTTTCTTATCATTGGTAAATTATATTAATTCTGATTGAATGCTAGAATGATTTCTATCTAGGTGTTGGTACTGATGATATGTTTCTTATTTTTTCGGCTTATCATCGAACAAAATCATCTGAAACAACTTCTCAAAGATTAGCAGATACATTTCGTATTTGTGGATCTGGTATAACAATTACATCTTTGACAAATATCATTGCCTTTCTAGTTGGAGCAATTACTGATTTCTATGGTATACGTCTTTTCTGTTTTTATACAAGTAAGATAATGTTAAATTTCTTTGTTTTCTTTTTGTAATACAATCTACAAGGAAAAATCTGCACCTATATATAGCAGATCATGACATAAGAGCTCGTTTAATCTTGGCAAGTACGTCGGTAACAATGTATTACAGAGATCTTAATAAAACCCTCTTCCACGATTCAGACCGTAGGCAAACAACGTTTGATTATAGTCTATATGAACTAATCGTTTTCCTTTTGCATCTCCGGAAGATTCATTAAAATTCTTGTGATGAAAAATGCCCCACAAAATACATACGATTAGACAATATTTCTATACTTAGTAACAGTAATCACATATGCCAGTATTAATTAAGAAGTCTCGCACGTTTATCTTCGATAGTTTTGTAGAGTTTATTGATATCTCTTGAATAAAAAACAAAAGTTACACTCTTGCCAAAGCAAATGTTTTTTTTCTTCTTCATTATAAGGTGCTTCAATAGTTTTTTGTTATTTCTATCAAATCCTATTGTTTGGCAGCGCTGTTGCAATCTATAATGAATGTATTAGTAATAATCGACATACACTTATTTCTTGTATTGTCGATCATGCACAATCACCAAATACTACAAGGCGTCGACATCGTCATCGAAAACAATGCTTACCATGGAAAGAAATGTTCGTCTATGTGATTACACCATTATTTACAACTTGCGGTCAAGTGATTGTTTGCATAGTGTTTTTAATTTTTACAATTTCTGCTTTCTATGGAGCCTTACAAATGAGAGATGGAATGAAATTGGGACAACTGTTAAGCGATAAATCATATGCGAATCATTATTTTGATAAATTAGATAAAGAATTTGAACCTTATCCATTAGTACATTTTATTATAACAGAACCAATACCCTATTGGAGAAATGATTATATGAAACGAATTCGAAATCTAGTGAAAGCTGCTAAAGAATTAAAAGGTAGAAAAACTAGTTGATGGTGTTTTGAATGAAGATTTTATTTGGCTTTTTTTGGTCTATTTATAATCTAGGTATGAATCATAAAGTTGAAATCTCTTGGTTTTCATTATTGGCTTATGATCCACAAGATCATCCATTTGATAATGGTACAGAGTTTATCGGAATACTCCAGGGTTTTGTTAATTTATTTCCAACATTTGATAATGATTTATTACTTAACAGTACTCATCTATTAGCTAGTCGATTTTATTTACAATTTGGGCGTGTATTTTATAATTCTTCTGATGGCTATTTAGTCAATCAATTACGTTCACTTGCTGAACAATCAAAATTGCCTATCAAAGGTATGAAACAGATAGTCGTTCGATAAAAAGTTAAAAGTTAGATTTTATATACGCATCGATGGTCCAATGAATGGATCCTGTTCGAAAAAAAGCATACAATTAAACTTCTATATTTAAATTTTGTTGTTTATCACCTATGGATTTTATTAAGGTTAGCATAAGAGTAACCTTTCTTTTTCTCTGATTCTCAATGTCAGAAAGCAAGTTTTAGCTGTTAAAACTGTACTTGCTAAATAAATCAAAACTAGATTAAGTTGAAATACGTACATTTAAGTAAAACTTCCTAGTCAATTACTATTCATATAGATCACAACGGTCTATGTTAAAAGTTCATACGGAGAAAATCATGACTATCACTAATCAATTCCTGAAAAAATGACTAAGCTAGACTTCTGACAAGGTTAGAAGTACAAATTTATAAACGCAACATATTTTGACTTTTTCTCAATGATATCGTGCTGCGAGAGCATTCAAGGAAAACAGTTTACTCGCTGAAATTATTTACAAATACCAAAGATGTTAATTTCAGTCGTATCAATAAGTTTCGATGGAAAGTCCTAGTTTTCCAAAAATAAATTTTAAATAGATTTTTCAATCGAAATTCTGTAGAGACTACTGAGTTTCTAAATAGTTTCTATTCAAAATATTCTCTTGTCTCGATTGAAGTTTATCCGAATCAATGACATACGAAATTCGAAAACTTTTAAATATCAACATTAAGCCACATCTCTAAGCAAGCACTTCAAAAAAACAAAATATTAAGTTCTACTTATTGTTTCCTTTGTATGTTAAAGCATCTAAAAACAACTCAAGACATAAATTATTTTCGCAAATGCTTCTATTTCACCTTCATATTACATTTCTTGCATATACATTATCCTGAGAGAAAAAAAAACGTCCTCTTTTGGTTATTCATGTGTTCTGAGAACGGTATGACGTGCTTGCAGTAAAACGATTAGGTCAAAACTATATTCACTTGAAAATCTGAAATGTTTTATTAAACAATTTAAAAAAAGAAAGCTTTACTAATAAAATATGTATTTCTAATAGTGTATAGTAATCTTTTCAAATACTACGAACAAATGTATGAAGTCATTCCGAACATCATTCAAACATTTCTCATCGCCATCGAAGCCATGTACATAGCAACATTAATAATAATTCCAGATCTTCAATCAGTTATTATTATTATTTCAACAATGTTAATGATCTTAGTTAGTCTTGTTGCTACTTTGCACGCATGGGGTATACAAGTGTCATCGGTTATGATGGTTGAAATGGTGATGTCGATCGGGTTTTGTTCAGATTTTTGTGTACATATTGTACATGCATTTTTGACAGCAACTGGCACAAGAAAAGAACGTGCACAACAAGCATTAATTAACATGGGAATGCCGATATTGTGCGCAAGTTTATCATCGATAATTGGTGTTCTATTTTTAGGTCTTGCACAATCCTATTTATTTCGAACATTTTTCAAAACAATGGTTTCTATAATGATATTAGGAGCTGTACATGCACTTTGTTTCTTACCAGTCATTCTTTCATTAATTGGTTCTCATTGGCCGTCACATGAAATAGATAAATTACAACAAAATAGTTCTATTCAAATGGCAACATCTACAAATAAAGATGTTCAAATCAATGGACATAATATTGAAGAAAATAAAACAAAAAAAGGAAAACTACAAAGAGCTCCGGATACAATTGAAGAAGAAGAAACTGATGATTTTATACCAACAGCAAAATTGATGGAAACAGTCACCAGTAATTTAAAAAATTAATATATGTAGACTTGAAAGTTTCTGAATAATGACCTTTACCTTATATTAAAATAAACGAGTTAATGGAAAGTTCTTGCTTTTATCTTATTAAGGTCATTTGAATTGTAGTTACATCATTATTCAAAGTCCGAGAAGAGTTCACAAGATTTTATCATCGAAAAAAAGTGACAATTGTTGCTTTTTTTTGAAGAGTTGCACCATCAAAGAGAATGAGAAAACATGACTTTATCTGTGATGTACGAAAGTCCTGATGGAAAATATTCATTATTTTATATCTCCCCCTAGGGAATGTACTGAGTTCAGAGTACCCATATACTGAGAAAGTCACACCAGGGTACCTATTAAGGGTACTTAGAAAATTCTCAGTAACCATACTGATGTAGGTACTGTATTGGGTAACCATAGCAGTATGTTTCGCTGAACAAGTACTTGTATGGGTACCCGCACCTGTAATTTTACTGAGGAAAGCTCTACAGAGTATCCTAGATTTGTCGCGTTCTGCGCAGCACCTGTTCATTCACCGTTTTCTTTTGCGTGAACAGCTCCTTATAAACAACTTGGCAAACCATAAGAAAATAAACTATTTTCATATCTTTTTTTCCTAGATTATTTTTTGACTATTTATTAGTCGAAAACATGCCGATCTTAATCGTAAACTAAGATCGGATTACCCTGAAGTGGTCGGATGGAGATTCGACCAACTCAAGTCCGGTTAGATCCCGAAATTTGACCTGCTAGAGTTTTAAGAAATGGAAAAATTTTAACAAATTGTTTTGAGAGAAAAAAAATGAAAAAGTTCGAAGATTAGGTTTGATCATCAGCCTACTGCAATTTTGGTGACAGTGTACCTAAGCATACTGTGCAATAGTATCCAGTTGAGTACGTGATCAGTACCTTCAAGTACCCATTTACTAGTTGCTTTCCAGCATGTTACCTACCTGAGTACCTAAAAGGTACCTAAACGTACTTTTAAGTGCTCAAGTACCATAAGGATCCTAAGACATACTAGTAGCAGGGTACTTTTTCGGGTACTCTTTGTTAAGTACATGCCCTAGGGCCGAGTGTAATTTGATTACAACTAATAAGTAATTGTAATTTTGTGATGGAAATAATATATCACGACCAGAATCACTCGTGATAATAATTGTTGTTAGTGTATATACCAAGGGGGAAACGGCGGATTCCCGGGATTCCGGATCCCATGGGAATCCCGGGAATCTCGTGGGAATCCCGTGGAAATCCGGTATACGTCCCAGAAATAACTAATATAGACGTCTCAAAAACACTTAACATATAGCTTTTGCTCACACATATCAAAAGTCATTGCATTCATTTAGTATGTTAAAGCCCATTCCTCTAAAAAACTATGGTAGAGATACGAAAAATAAG